ACACTAGTTATCTATATATTAAATTCATGATTTATAATGGTATTCATCTCTATACTTCTTCAGTAGAAACACAGTCCTATATTTATGGAACCAAAATTTATCCTGCACTTTCTGCTATTGCACTTCTGGTTAGACCTAAACTGCATTTCGTTGCCTTGTACCTGTACCTGTGTAATGACAAAGTTTAATCTAATAATGAGCATCAGCTGTACACGCTCTTTTTTTTTTTTGGACTGGTTACAGTGATTTTAGGTACAATATGGGTATATATATATATATATATACACACATGTATTTTTTTGTTTATATATGTATTTAATAATTCAATAAATACATTTCATTATTTATTTAGTATAAAAATATATGTATTTAAAGCATGCATCACAAGTAACATTGGCTTTTTAACATTACATCCTGCCACTTTTTATTTTATTTATTGAATATGTGGCAGTTTGGGCTTTTCATAAGTGCTCCAGTCACCATTGATCCCATTTATAGACATTTGCTTGAGTGACATGTTTAGATTCAAGTATTTTGGTCTAAAACTGCCTGGTCAACCTATAGGATGACTATTTGGTCAACCGAATGGAGGCTGGAGGAACACAAAGCAGTTAAAGCAGTAAGCAGTTGAGGCTGTACTGTAGGATTGTCTATTTATTCGCCTCCACCGCAGCAACAGCTGCCTGATGCAGCTGTGGACATGCCCAGTCACGTCAGTCAAATTCAAAATACTTTACAATCCCTCTAAGAGTGCTTGTAGCGACAGTGGAGAGAAAAACGTCCCTTTTAACAGGAAGAAACCTCCAGCAGAACCAGGCTCAGTGTGAGCGGCCATCTGCTGAGGCCGACTGGGGTTCAAGGAGACAGAAGCAGAGATCCAGGAAACACAACTGTTTACCAAAATAGGAACGACATATTATACAAGAAACACCACCGAATTCAGACATTTGATTACTGTGATTAGTCCACCTGCCTCCTGCATATTTAACTCAGAGATTATTAGTGCAGAGACTGAGAATTCATAAAAATCACTCCCTTTTTTTGCTTTTGGCATTGCTATCAGGTTAGCAGCCCAAACCTCTGCTCTTATCCCTGCTTTCTAAAAGAATCTATACTTGCAAAGCTTGATTTCTGCTGAACGCAGATAAAACGTACCTGTGTTGGAGAAGGTCGGATAGTTTCAAGAGGACAACACATTTTGTTTAATTTCGCTTTCTGTGCAAAGATCCATGGCAGTAAGGCCTTGTTGGTGCTGCCAATCTCCCTGAAAACAACAAAAACAAAGTGTTTTGGTTAAATATAAATAAAAGCAAACAGAGCATGAAAGCAGAGGATTGGTGGAACGCCGTCCTTCAGGCAGACACCGAGACTCGGCGTCGCAGCTGTGGATGGGACCACCTACTTGGCCAGTCTTTGCAGAGTTTCCACCACTTCCTGCTCCTTCATCTTCAGCTGCTCCTCATAAGGCACATTCCACAGAGGAGTCACAGCGTTGGCGATCTGCACACTGAGCGGCTCCTCTTCCTCCTCTTCCCTCTCTGGTCTCTTAGACGCCGGCCCTTCTCCCTCCTCTCGACTCCTCTTACCCAGGATGGGGTCCGCTTTGGGTTTGGCCAGCCTGATGCTCAGGACCTGGCCCTTCCACTGCATGCCGTGCACCATCTTCATCGCCTTGTCGCGCTCCTCCTCGTTCTTAAAGGTGACGAAGGCAAACCTCTGCTTGCCGAAGAGCTTGATCTTGTGAGGATTCAAGCAGTGCTTGACCAGGAACTTCTTCAGGTCGTTAAAGCCGATGAACTTGGGCAGATTTCTGATTTCCACTTTGAAGATCTCTGAGGTAAAGAGGTCCTCTTTGATGTAACGGTACTTGTTGGGATCGGAGCTGGCCTCGCTGCCTTCAGCTGCAGGATCGGATGTGGGGGCATCAGTGTTGGAGTCTTGGATGAGATCATCAGGGTTTTCCTCCTTGGAGGATGCAGCAGCATCACCTGGAAGATCCGCCATCACCCTGTTGGCTGCTATGATACAAACAAACAAACCACAGTCATTACTTAACATCTTACGTATTTTACTTGTTAAAATATGGTAAACTTTACTGACTTTTTTTTTTGCAAACTAAATATGTTGCTAAGGTTTAGCAGATGGTGGTAATCACACCACCTCCCATGCAATATATAAAAAAACACAAATATTACAGTTTACTTTATCAAAGATTTTAAAAGCTAAGATAAGGATTTATGATCAGAGCTGAAGTGTTTGTAGATATAATTTTATCACCCAGATTATAATGTTAGAGGAAGATAATTACTTTGTTGTTAACAGGAAAGTTTCTGCGAACATTTCAAACTCCACAGCCTCGCTGAAAAATACGTATTTACTCCAAAAATTATTCATTGGATTTATTTTTCCCCACGAGCCTTACCTTTACACGTCTAATAACGCTGATTTCACTTCTGCTTAAACAGTGCAGGGCGTCGCCATGTTGGTCCGACCACGTGCGGCGTCAAGAGGAAGCTTCTTAAAGTGACAGTGTCCCTTTTGCACTCGCGCGCCGTCAAAAAAACATGCGTTCACTTTTCCACACCATGAAAGGACAAATAAAACAAGATGAGTTAAATTAGATTGATTTTTATTTCATTTTATTGTCAGGTACAACTTTATGTACATTTGTTTGGAGATATATATAACAACAAAAATAGCTAGTGTTTGATGTAATTGATAACCTTTCATGTTTTTTTAATTTTTATCATAACCATAGGGATAATATACAGTGTCTGGCACAAACGGAGGCAGAGAGGACATATAAACTTGTTTAATTATTATTTTCAAAATATTTAAGTTTTAATTGTTAGGCCTATTACTTATGATGCTCACATGAACAACAAACTGGACTGGACTCACAACAATGAGGCTCTCTAGGCCTACAAGAAGGGTCACAGCAGGGTCCTACTGCTTAGGGGCCCTCCTAAAGACCTTCTAGGACTCTGTCAGGGCATCAGCCATCTTCTATGGAGCATAGAAGGTTGCAGGGTGAATATATATA